GCGACAGGAGGAACTATATTGGTTTCATACATTTACTCTTCATCGGCAATGGCAAAATCATAAATCTGGGATAGAGGATTACTTTGGTCGTTAGATTAAAGAGGATTCATAGATTCAGGATCTTTTTCTCAACTATTTTCAGGACTTGTTTCATACATCTGATTCGATTGGTATTGATCATTTCCTACGGCACATTCAACCACGAGTTACTCTAGATATGAATAATAGATTAATTCGACCGCCATCTGAGGAGGAAATTCGTGGTGCTATTTTTGATATGCAGCCATGTAAAGCTCCGGGTCCTGATGATATGACTCCATTATTCTATTAGTGATATTGGCATCTTATTAAGGCGGATTTCATTGATGCGGTATGTAGTTTTATGCATTCGGGTCATCTTTTGTCTAATCTGAATGACACTAATATCTTTTTAATTCCTAAAATTGAATCCCCAGCCCATATTTCCCATTATAGACCAATATCATTAAGTTCTGTTGCTTATCGGATTATCGCTAAGGTGCTTACTAATAGGCTTCACAAAATCATTCCCTCTATTGTTAGTGAATCTCAGAGTGCGTTCATTCCGGGACGTCAAATTATGGATAGTATCCTTATATCTCATGAGATTCTCCACTACCTTAAAAATAAACGTAAAGGTAAAAAATCATTCCTTGCCCTGAAATTGGATATGAGTAAGGCTTATGATCGGATTAAATGGCCTTTTCTGTTGGCTATGCTTGAGAAATTGGGTTTTCATGCTCATTGGATTAACTTAATTCAGGCCTATATTTCAACGGTTTCGTATTCTATGATGATTAATGGTAAACCTGTGGGGTTGTTTCGTCCCATGCGAGGCCTCCAACAAGGGGATCCTTTATCTCTCTATTTATTTATTTTGTGTGCAGAAGCTCTTTCTTATTCTTTGCAGGTGGCCCTTTAGCATCGAGTTTTATTTGGGATTCGGGTGTGTCCACAAGCTCGATCTATTTCTCACTTATTCTTTGCGGATGATTCTATTGTATTATATCAAGCCTTTACTATTGAGATTGTTTTTCTTAAGAACCTATTGCAGAGGTATGAAAGGGCATCTGGGATAAATTTTTCTAAATCCTCTATTTTCTTTTCACGTAATACTTGTTTGGAGGATCGTGTTGCTTTGTGTCAGTTACTGGACATTCTAGAGGAGGGTCTGCGTGCAAAATATTTGGGAATGCTTGTGATTATTGGTCGGTCAAAGTGGGATGTATTTCAACATATCTCCCAACGTGTCACTACTCGATTAGTATCTTAGAAATCTCTGCTCTTATCTCCCGTAGGTAAGGAAATTTTAATTAAATCAGTGTTGAGTGCTTTGCCCACATATGTTATGTCATGCTTTAAGCTTCCCCGTAACCTTTGCAATTCCATTCTGAAGTATGTTCGTAGCTTTTGGTGGGGTAAAGAAGGTGCATCTGCTACTATCAATTGGGTTAAATGGGAGCTTTTATGTGATGCTAAAGAGGAAGGGGGGTTAGGGTTTTGAAACTTTGAGGTCTATAATGATGCTTTGTTAGCTAAGCAGGGTTGGAATTTTCTGGTCCACCATAATGGGATGGCTTTTAAGCTCTTTAAAGTCAAATATTTTTGCAATTGTTCCTTTTTAGAGGCGCAGTTGGGATCAAATTCTTCTTGGGCTTGACGCAGTATTAGGTCTACGTAATCTTTTATTGCTGTTGGATCTAAATGGGTTATGGGAAATGGAATATCTATTAATATTTGGAATGATCAATGGGTACCTGGTATGTCTGGTAGGTTGATACGACCTCCTCAGTTGGTGATTCCTGAATTAGTGGGGGAGTTATTTGATTCTCAGTGGACTGGTTAGAACATCAACTTGATTCAATCTTTATTTCCGCCCCCTATTGTTACAGCTATTCTTAGTTGTCCTTTCAGTTTCTTTTCTAAAGAAGATAGGTTGAGGTGGGATGGGAGTTTAAGGAGGCTTCCAGTTCCGCAGGCGTTGATATGACTTCTTATCAGGTCAGGCCTAGATCGGCTTTGTGTCCCCATCCCTCCCCTTCTCGTTGGTTGCCTCCACTAGAGGGTATTATTAAATGTAATGTGGATGCTTCCTTTTCATCGGTTTCTCAGATTAGGGGCGGTGGTGCTATTTTTTGGGATTCTAGGGGAACTATTCTTCAGGCAGTGGTTTTTTCTCCTTTTCAGGCTTCGACTGCTACTATGGCTGAGGCTATGTGTTTGCGAAAAGCGGTTCTCTGGGCCTCAAATTTGTCTTCTGTTAAGTTTTGGTTCAAGTGCGATTCTTTGTTGGTGGTCCAAGCAGTTGATGGAAATGATTGTGGTCCAATTGAGATTCAGTCTGTATCGTTTGATATTCGAGTGGCACTTCGGTGATTCTCTTTTTCTCGACTTAGCCATATGCTTAGGCATGGTAATGAGGTCACCCATGGTCTTACCTAGCTTTCTCATCTGTACATTCTTTAGAATACTACTTTAATTTATATTCCTGCTGATATTCTTGCTCTTGGAGCCAAAAATTTTGTGTTTTGATTAGGTTGTTGTTGCTTCTTTGACACCGGAAAAAAAAAAAAAAAAAAAAAACTCAGACGGTCCCCTCACTCGTCTTTTTCATCAGTACAACGCAACCTCCGTCCCCCACTTCACCTATTACTCCCATACTCTCTCTCTAAAACACTGTTCCATTTCTCTCTTTAAAACTAGCAGCTATCATCTCCATTCCGCCTCCTTCAGACACCCAGTAAATCTTCTCTTGAGTCTTCCAATTCCGAGGTTTGTATTTTCTCTTTCCATATGCCTCACTATTTCTCTCTCTACATCTCTATGTATGTTTCCTTTGATTGCTATAGAAAGTTTTCCATTTTTAGTGAAAAAAAGTGTAAATCTTGCATTACAGTGTTCTGTGCTTATACCTCTTGAGCCTCAGATAACTTCGCTGTTTTTTGATGAAGAGTTTTCAAATTAACAAAAAAAAATTCTGTTGTTTCCTCTTTGGTCTTTGTGAAGTTTTAAGAATCGAAAACTTTAGCATCCCAAATAAATCACCCTTTCTTTATTTTCCAGATATAGAATTATTATTTTTTCCTGGAAAATTTTCTGAATTATATTTAGGGCTTCATTGAAATAATATATATGCTCATCCTTTTAATAATGGAAATACCATGTAAAACTAAGACACCAGTAGTCTAGAAGCCCTATGGACTGTATATGATAATATGTCTCGGCCAACATCACCAATCCGGTACCATTCGCCGAGGCGACATTTTAGCTTTGATTTGATCACCAATATGTCTTTTCTCATATTGCTTGTTCAGTTTATATAATCAATTTTCTGTTTCAGATTGTTTTTATTAATTCATTTGCTAATTTGTGAAAAACCTAGTTTTTTACTAGTCTCTGAATTTTTATTAGGGTTTTAGTATATGAAATCGGATGATTTGCACTCTTTTAATTGTTTGCTTACATGATTCATTTCTTCCAATCTCAAGCTGAACTAAGTAATGGATTGCTCATACGCTCTCATGTTCGAAAGGATCAGTCAATAAAGAGAACCTGAAAGAAGGAGCCGTGGAGTCTACTCGTTCGAATTGTTCGCACCATCCGCTGGATCTTCGATTTCATATCTCGCATCATCTGATTGATGAACCCTCTCTGACTCAAAACTCTGCCATCAATCCACCTATGAACTGGCATCTAGGAAACTCACCGCGCAATATGTACTGCTTGACTTTTCTTTCAATTGATTAGCCGACGAGCAGGCTTTCATCCGAGATCTCTTTTCTATATAAAAGAAATATAGTCAGAAGCAAACGTGATAATGGAGAATATCTTTAGCCCATTTTGCAACATATCTTACATTTGAAAATTTGAATGCCACTCTCAATAACCGATTATTGAGAGCACAAGGAGAGTCCACATCACTTCAGCTTGATATTAAAAAATAATAGGAAAATTACATATAGGTAAAGTTAAGACATTTAAATAACAAATCAATTAATTTTTAAAGGTAATTTTTTTATTTTCATTGGATTAAGTAAAATAATTACAAATACATAATATCCTCACACTCTTATTTCAAAATATCAAAATATTCTCTTATATAATAAAATAGATAATTAAAAATTAGTTTGATTAGTGAATAACAATTCTTTATCACTTATATTCGTCGTCAATCAGCACTAACGTCCAGAGCACCACCCAGGTTTTCTAGGTCCTCCTCTCCCTCTCTTCACACACATATATAAATATAAATATAAATATGTAATCATTTTTGTTCACAAGTTTCAGATATAGGCTTTAGAAGTATGTTATACCTTATGAAATTTGGGTTCTTGCATAGGGTTATCAATTTGACATCTCAAAATTTGTTGTGATTTTTTATAATTGATTGAAGAATGAAAGAAACAACTAGAGATCTCTAGACAACAAAAAAGAAAGGCACATGTGGATACCACCCCCCCCCCCCCCCCCCAAATAAAAAAAGAAAAACACACTTCATTACCCTACTATCCAACAGGGATATGAAATCCTTGCCATAGTTTTTACATCTTCTTATATCACCACTGCCATAGTAAACTTGTAGAGCTTCCCTTTTCAATTCTTACCTTTCAGATCAGTTGCCTTCAATCCCAAGGGGCAATCCAATGCCATAGAGGACAAAGAGAAGAGATGGAGAATTTTTATTTGCTAATTAAACTAATTCTTAATTATTTATTTTAATATTTAAAATTAGATAATTTTAAAAGGGATATTTTTGTATTTTGTAATAAGAGTGTGATGATATTTTGGACTTTACTAATAATTCTTGATGCATTTGTAATTATTTTATTTTATTCAATCAATGTGAAAAATTAACTTTTAAAATTAACCAATTTGTTATTTCCGGAGACAGTGAGTCATTTATTTTGTTGATGTCCTCGTTCTATTCAAGTTTGGAATGCTTCTAAAATTGGAATTGATTGTGGGGATGTATCTCATGGGCTATGGGATGCATGGTGGAGAGAGCAGATTCACTATTATTCCATTCGAGATCATTGGGTAAATTACAGAGTTTGGTTGCATGCATTTGTTGGCAGATTTGGAAAGCGAGAAATGCTTGGGTTTACAAACAGGAATGGTGGAAAGCTGATGATATAGCCGAAGTGGCAAGTAAGCATTGTACCGAGTATGTTGATGCTCTTGGGGTGGGTCATCTTTCTTCCAGAAAATCAAAAGAGCATGTTACGCATCAAAGTATTGTGTGGAATTCTCCTCCTATTTCTTTTGTAAAGATTAATTGTGATGACGCTTTTGATTCTAAATCGTGTACTGGTGGGGGAGGTATTGTGGTTCATAATCATGCCGGTTCTGTTTTAAAAGGAGCTGGGTTTCTTTTCCCGTATGTTTCACATCCTTCTCTTGCAGAGGCTTTGATATTAAGAAAAGGATTGCTTCAGGCACTTCAATGGGGTTTTGATAGAGTCATTTTTGAAACCGATGCGGAGGTAATGGTGAAAGCTATTCTGAAGTCCGGTCCTTGCCCTCCATATTTAAATATTGTGGTTGATGATATGAATTCTTCTTTTTCATCAGTTCTTCTCAGTAGCGTTTGTCCTTCGTGAAGCTAATGACATGGTCCATCAGGTGGCAGTTGGCTTTGGGGTCACATAGAGAGTTTATTTTTACTGATGTTTTGCCTGATGGTATTCAGGATCGGGATAAGCTTGTAATCAATTGATTTACTATGAAATAAATCTTTATTCTTGCCGTGAAAAAAAAAAAAAATCCTACTTACACTACAAGAAAAAAAGACTTCTACGAGGGGCCAAAACCGCCGTGGAAACCTATTCACGGCGCATTCTAGGCACTCGTGTATGAGGGTTCCGTAAATACTCAATTTTTTTTACGAGAAAAAATCTACCTCGTAGAAAAACAATAGAGTCGCCGTAGAAAATAATTTCGTTTATATATATTAAATTTTATTTAATTAACCTACGAGGTGCCGAGGCATGCCGTAGAAAAGGTTTCTACGGTGAATTGTAACTACCCGTAGAAAACTCACGAGACACCATCGCCTGCCGTAGAAAATTTTTTTACGGCGAAGTATAACTACCCGTAAATAATCTCACGAGGTACCCACGGCTGCCGTAGAAAAGTTTTCTACGGCAAGTTGTAACTATCCGTAAATAATCTCACGAGGTACAAAACCATGCCGTAGAAAAATTTTCTAAGGCGAATTTTAATTACCCGTAAATAATATTACGAGCCATTAAATCATGCCGTAGAAAACTTTTCTACGGCAAATTTTAGGTACCCGTAAATAATATAAACCATTCTCCCGACTTGCCGTACATGCCGTAGAAAAGTTATTTAAGGAAGATTTTCACTTATTTACGGTATTTCAAGCTCCTCGTAAATAAAATATATATATATAAATATATTTTATAAATAATGCACCCTTAATTAATTCCTATTAATCATCCACTACCTATAATTCACATCACTTTCAGCTATAATTCATTTCAATTCAAAAAACATACATATCCCATTAAATATATCAAAAGAGTTAAAACATTTTTACAATTCATCATTTATCAATGTTCCAAAACAGAAAATACATCCATTTGTCAAGAAAATCATCAATTTCTTAACACTTCTGTTGAAAAATTGATAAACCTTCTAGCACTTGAGTTTCAGTCTGCACTTGTCAAAAAACCAGCTCATTGTACAAAATCCAAGGAAGTAGCTGCAAAATCCAAGGAAGTAGCTGCAAAATCCAAGAAAGTAACTATATCACACAAGTCTTAAATTCAGAATGCTAATAAAAAAGGAAATAACAAGATTATCATTTTATGAATCAAACACAAACATTTTGCTAAGAATTTTTTCCTTAGATCTGCTTTTATATTTGAAGCAGATAATTTTCCTTAATTGAATACTAGATTTTTGAAAGGATGTATGAGAACAGACAATATCATAATATCTTTATATTCATGAACACTACAATATCATAATATGTAGTCTCTTTATCTCATGATTATGAGCAAATCTGAAACATTCTGAAACAAATCGGAAACATTGTAGGTTTTTGGTGCAACGATTATGAGCAAATCTGAAACTTTAAATACAAGTCAAGTCTTATATATATATATATATATATATATATATATATATATATATATATATATATATATTATCTCAGTTTGTTGGTAGTTTAATTTATATATGTTTTTTTTTTTTTTAAACTGAAATTCAGTGTTTTAACATTGAAGATGCTGTTGTAACCTTGCATTGGAATATACCTTTGCTTGTTAATTGGTTATTAATACCTAAGCAAGTGTATCTAGCCTATTGAAGACTAAGGGAGTGGACTTCTTTGGGACGTTAAAGGGAACTCGAATAAGTTGAATTCAAAACTCTCAATTTCTTTCAAAGATTCAATCTTTTAGAATTAAAAAGGTCTAGTGATATAACAAGTACCTTGATTGAGGTTTTTTCAATCAAAGATTCAATCTTTTCTCATTAAAACACTCTACGGTACATCAAAGGGAACTCGAATATGTTTAACTCAGAACTCTCATTTTCTTTTAAAAATTCAATCTTTTTACATTAAAAAGGTCTAGTGACATAGTACGTACATTGATTAGGTAAACCCCTCTTTCAATTTTGGTTGTTGTAGTTATTCTTCAGAAGGCTTCGTTGCTCCAAAACCTCTCCTCTTATTTTATTTTTTATTCTATACTATATTCATATATATATACACACACACACACACACACACACACACACACACTATTTGCTTAGAGAAAGAAGGATGATGACCCGTATCATTTTTATGGCATATATGCAGCGGCTAGTTCTTAGCCACCAAACCAACCTACCAACATCTTGACAAGTTTGAGTTTGGTTTAAGAAAGTGGACCTTCTATGGACACATCACATATGACTTGCATCTAAGCTAATGAGGTTGTTATGACAATTACCAGCCCCATGACCCTAACCCAGTTTGAGACTGGGGATATGTGTAATTATAATGGATTGGTTAGAGATATTCTCCAACCAGTGAATATTTTATCAACTTCTATATAAAATACACACTATCCACAATGACCTGTATCATTTTTATGGCATATATGCAGTGGCTAGTTCTTAGCCACCAAACCAACCCACCAACATCTTGACAAGTTGAAGTTTGGTTTAGGAAAGTGGACCTTCTATGGACACATCACACATGACTTGCATCTAAGCTAATGAGGTTGTTATGACAATTGCCAGCCCTATGACCCTAACCCAGTTGGAGACTGGGGATATGTGTAATTATAATGGAGGGTTAGAGATCTTCTCCAACTAGTGAATATTTTATCAACTTCTATACAAAATACACACTATCCACAATTAGTCTCAACAATGCAAGCAAAATTTTAAACCACCCTCCACACTTACTTACCTTTTTTTCCCTTCTTTATTCTTCTTTTATTTATTTATTTCTCCAATTTATCTCTTTCAAGTATCAAACAAAAGAACACAAATTATTTATCTTCCTTTCTTCTTTTGGCTTCTATCTTATCTCTGTAAATTCTGTAAAATAGAACACAAAGCTGAAAAAAGGGCATAACGGAGCCAACTTTGAGGGAGGAATCTGTAATTTCTAAAATGTTAAAGGTATTGCCTGTAATTTGGCCTAACCTTGAGGGAAGAAACAGATCTAAGCTTTCTCTCCATTAGACCCCAATTCATTCCTCTTTTGCCGGCTTCTTTATGGCGGTTTTAGCCGCTTTTTATGTCATTTACTTGGGACTCGCCCTACCTGACACAATAATGAGCATTTGTAATAACCCTTACCCTATCCAAATACAAGGGTATATAATGAAACGTTTGTGCATGTGGAGGAAGGGAAGTGGTATGGTGTAATGGTCAGATTCATGCCGTTAATCTCTCTCTCTCTCTCCCTCCCTTTTAGGGGGTTTGAAGGGAGTGCCGGATGTTCATATTCTTGTTAACGGTATTCCCTACTTAGATGTAGACTATAGACTAGGACTGATTTAGAATTAAGAATAACTGTAAAATTGTTGAATTTGCATCGTTAATTTATCTCTTTCCCTCATGTGTAAATCAATCTAATTGCTTTCCTAGAGAGATCCTGAATTCTCAAGATTGCTGTATTTCTGGTATCAGCAATCATGTATATATTGTTGCTTTAGAACTCTTAGCATGCATTTTATCTTGCATGGGCAATAAATAATACTATCATTGTTCTAAGCAGAAAAATGATTAACTTGGCTTCGAAAGGGGTATTGACATTTATATTCATGAACACTACAATATCATAATATGTAGTCTCTTTATCTCATAATTATGAGCAAATCTGAAATTCATGAACACTATATCTCAGTTTGTTGGTAGTTTAATTTATATATGTTTTCTTTTTAAAACTGAAATTCAGTGTTTTAACACAAGATGGTGTTGTAACCTTGCATTGGAATATACCTTGCTTGTTAATTGGTTATTAATACCTAAGCAAGTGTATCTAGCCTATTAAAGACTAGGGGAGTGGACTGTGAGGTGTTCCTAAGCTTAAATCATAAAGTTGCCCTTGAAAGCTTAAAAGCTAGGTTTTGGTGGGATTAAGCCTGCTTGTGTGTGCCTATTGCTGTAACTTGCTATGTAAAGTGTTCTAAACAATCAAGCAAGTATAATTTGATGATACAAGGTTGTGGGAGTTAATTGAAGACCTGAACAGAAGCTGCATTGTGAAAAGACTTGTCTAACCTCAATTTTGGGGTTTAAGCCTTTGTGAAGAGAAACTATTTTATCTTACTCCTATCATTGTGCTATTCTTTTGAGCAAGTGTTTTTGAAGATACCTAGGTTGGGGGAAACAAGTAAAGGTCTGTTTTGAAGCTACATTATGAAGTTACTGGTTTAACATTGGGTACACTTCAACATATAAAAACCAATGGTTAGTGATCTTTTAATATTTTCATCACAAGTACATCTTATTTTCATCAAATGTCAATATATAATTTTTTTTATAATTTTTTTTTTCTGAATTAAATGATAATGAATATCTTCACATATAATAATAAATCAAATGTTTCATGACTTAGTTTTAACTCTTTTGATATATGCATATTGCTGTCATTCTATATAGAAAAGGAAAGGTGCATTTGTGTTTGTTTTGTGGGGGCCCAAAGTTTTGAAGAAATCTCCTTCCCATCAATAATTTATATACTTTGTGATTTCTTCATTCAACACACGACTCTTTTGACTCTTAAAAGTGATGACTCACAACTTACTATTCTCATACTATTCTCAGTGGTGGTTGTTTGTTGGCGGCTTTGTGTTTGCATTTGGCTTTGTCAAATTCGGATGGAGTGGAAAGATGGTATAAATGAAGTTCTTATCATATTTTTAAATCATCAATTAATGAAATTGCACAGTCAAAGTGGTCATAGTGATGCAAAACATATCTTATATCATACATTTTGAGTCCTCATAATAGAATTTTACTTCTACTCTTGTGCATATATTTGAAAGAATTATGTAATAGAGCAAACTAAATAGATTGAATATAAAAACTCCATACAATGTTACAATTCTCTTTTTTTAAAGCACTTTATATTATTTTTTTTAATTCACAAAATTATTTAATAAAAATATCAATCATGCACACGTAATCAATCCAAGAAAAATCTCATGACATCAACAACTTCTCCTCCACAACAATCAATCAAAACCTCCACATACAATGATCCCATACTCCCACGCTTTCAACATTTTAAAACAAGAAATAAAATTTAATAGCCTCCACACGGGCCGATGTACCAATAAGGTAATAAAGTTCAAGATACACCGCAATATTGGTCATTTAAAGGCACGTGACCCCCTAAGTATGAGTATAAAAAGCATTAAAATTGTGCAATCATAAAAGAAGCTTAGTATTTGACCTCTGTTGTAGACTGGAATCATAGAAATTCTGATTCTTCTACTCCTAATGAACTGGTAATAATCAATCCTGTCAAAAAAAAAATATTTCAAAAATGTAATGCAAACAAAAACATAAAAAATCAGATCGTATGACTAATTTAAGAAATATAATAATAAGTTAATGAATGACTAATTGACCTGAATAATTTTCACATATTTCTTAGGCCATACAACCGAGCTTGTGTTAGCATCACAAAGATAAAAATTTCCATTTAGGCTTGCTCGATACAAAGGACAGTCGCCGACCAAGATATCATCAATCCATACTTTCCAACAATCTGGACCAATTGGAAAATGATCTTCTAACGCATTGGGATCCGTTGCTGCTATCTCAGCCTTTGCAACAACTACACCTGACCCATTCCAGTGTAACAACTCACATTTTAAACCTTGTAGATCTTCTATAATAGGACTTGGCATAGCATTAGACTGAGAGCCAGCGCTAGCATTTTGGGACTACAATTAATGAAAACATGGATTAAAAAAACTAGTACATTAAATTCAAATGCTATATAGGCAGAAAATAATACGTATATAAATTGTTGTAACACTTACCAACAAGGCTTTCATCTCATTCATAATCTCATTTCTCATTTCATGTTTGATTTGTTCTACTCTTTGTTCAACTATTTCTTCTACCCTTTTTGTTTGCACCCTTTGAAAACCATTTGCCTCAATTTTAGAGATTATTGCTCCAAAACCAAGGCCTCTAACTCGACCTTTACGTTCTGGACCAAGTACATGAGTGAGTCCATCATCTCGAAGAGAGCTTGTGCCTTTAGGTTGGGTTTTGGTGTACTCTTTCATTTGTTTCTGAAATTCCATATTTTAAACATGTTTGTTGTTATGCATTTAAGCATGTTTATAAATGGAAATTTAAAAAATATAAGATAGGTAGGAAATATATATTACCACTGCTTCTTCTGTCACATCGTTCAAAGGTTTCCCACCCTTCCTCATGTGACCTTCGATCCATACATCAACCCTTGTTATAGCGTCAGGTGCATCACTTTTTTTTTCTCTACACAGGAACAATATTTGTGTACAGATAATAGAACATGTTAATATTGTACAAGTTAGTATAATATTTGTGTAAAATTTGCTAATAAATTTTTTTTCAAATACTTACACGAGTGTTGCAGCGATTACAAGAGAGGTTGTGCTAAAGAGGACAGAAATGTGTGTTCTTAGCTCTATTTGAGCTACATTTGAGAGGCTGTGCTAAAGAGGACTCAAGACCAAAGAATAAGAGAGGTTTACAGAGATTTTAAATGATCATTTGAGTTGAAATTCAACCCTAAATTCAGTATAAAATGAGGGTCTCAAAGATAATCAAAGAGGGCTGAGAGTATAAAATGAGGGTCTCAAATACATATATGAGTGTTGAGGGTCTTTTTTGGAGCTGAGACAAGGGCTGAGCAAGTTTAAGTTGGTGATTTACATCTGCAAGAAGCCACAAAAACAACAACTCTAGAGCTGGTATCAATTCTCAAATCTCAAACCTGCTCTATATTTAATTTTTGATGCATTGTAGCTGTATGTGAACTTAAAAGTGATACATCTTTATGTTACATGCATTATTGTTGCTTGATCATGCTTATAATGATGATACAGAGCTGTACAATCTAAGCCACATATCAGAAAAATAACCTTTATAGTTTCAGGCCTAATAGACTTAACAAATCAGGTTTTGTTTAAATTTAATGGCCTACTGTGAGTGCTGTGACTGTCATACTTGAGTGTAGTTGACATAATTTTCATCTGAGCACCTCTAGTTTGATATTATATGAATAGGAGAATCGAGAATTGAGATGTACCACAGCAAATTTACAATTCTGTCCCTAAGAACATCACTACTGTAAAAAATAATTGTGAAGCTTGGTTTGGGTTGTGACTTATTACTAACTTGTTAAAAACTGAGTTGTGGTAATTAAAGCATGTGTTATATGATGATTGTAAGCTGTGGAAGCTAGTTTCAAGAAGGACCAGCCACAGAATTAGTAAAGTGCCCCTAAAGGAGAAAAGGCTAAGACAAGACTGTGGGAATCTATTTTGAGCATCAAAAGAAGCTGCATTGTGGTTTGAAAGTTGTTTCCCTATTGGTGTAGAGAATTGAAGCTAAGATTTCTTGTGTTGTATACTTTGAGCTGAAATTTTCACTAATAATGCACAATTAAGCTTCCAAAGCACATGATTAAATACAAAATATCGATACAAAATATGTCTGACACGTGTACAAAATCAAACAACAAGATCCATTCATGGGATGAAAGAAGAAAAGAAAGATGGAATAATTAGTTCTACTTACCATTTCATCCTCTAGACGAGCATACCCCTTACGACTTGTTGTGTGAGGCATCTATTGCTTCTTTTGCAATTCTTGAGATTTTTCTCTCTTTCGCTATAAACAAATAATATAATTACTAATTTCTAAAGAAGAAAGTTATTAGAGTTGTGGTAATTTGATCAATATTTTACTTACTTTGTGGTCATCAAAAAGTCGATTACTCACAAACTGTTGCCACTTATCGATTGATTGTATACTGTCAGGCTTTAATGAATCAATAGCCTCTGTATCTTCATTTGACTTATATATGTTGGTTGTAAGGCGTGTTCTATAATCACCCCAACTCTTTCCCATTCTTCTAAAAGCATCCTTTTTATGAAAATCAGGGACTTCAAATTTTTGCTGCATTTAGTGTAAAAATCAAACAATCAGTAGTTTTTGGGAAAATTTCCTATCATTAATGGCTTAGGTCCAATTATGAATGGTGGTGTGTGCTATTAAATTTGGTCATCACTTTTATTTCAATTATAATTCTAAAACTGAATCTTAGGTCAAATACCTATAATAAAACAAATATATCACATAAAATGCAAGAAAAGAACATACCTTTATAGATGTCCATATGAGTCTTTCTTTCTCAGCTGAAGCCTCTTTCCACTTTTTTGAGCTAATTGGAACATGTCGTGCTATTATTCCGATGCTAGTAGAAATTTTTTTACTATTCTCACCAATTGGTTGCCCTCTTTCATTGAATTCAATCGGAAGTGGTGACTCGTTATCATTTACTACTGCATTTGCTAATATTGATGGACCTCTACCCTTATGAGGACCCTTGTGAGTAGAGGGAGTTATTGAAGCATCATTTGCCGAGGTGCTTCCCCTATCATGATCGATTGGAACGCAGCTAGAACCTCTAGATTGTCCACCTAACTGTGTATGGGGAAAGTTTGAATCTCGATCTGATATAGTAATTCCCTCATTTCCCGAAGTCCTTAATGCTGCCACAATACAATTCCTCTCTCTTAGTCCTCTTTTTGCACCAACTTTAGAGGACTTTATATGAGAAAATATGCAAGATAAGAAAATAAGAAAAACCATTAAAATTTAATACGAGGCAACAAAATTATAATTTAAAATCGATATATTAATTACTTACTTCTGCAGGACCACGCATGCTGAAATTTATCTATCTTTTTCCCTCTTCAATTCTTACTCCTTTGCTCTTATAATGAGAATGACCTATTTTTAAAAACAAAAAGTTCCAGAAAAAAAAAAAAAAACAAAGTATTTCAAGCCATAGATATTTCAAGCATAACATTACATATCATTTTTCCCCTGCATATTAGTGTATTGGTGATAGAACTCAGGGTCTAGACAATACAAGATGCATAAGAATGTTTAAATATAAAAAATACATATATGTTCTTGCAAATATAGATGATATTAAGGGTGTTTTACACCTTCAGATAGACCCACACCTTCAGATAGACCCACAAAACATGTGTACAAGTTATTTAAACAAAAGTAAAGCCTATATGGAGTAGTATCTAAAAGATAAAAAGAGTGAGTGAGGTGTAAAGTTATAAGAAGACATGTCATAAAGCACTACAATAGAATGCGAAAAACCTGATTTATGTAACATAAGACAATAAAAGGCTATTACATAAACAAAGTCCCAAAATAAAATAAAATAAAATGACTTCCAGTAAAATCTTAATACATCTACACGGTCATGCCCTCACAATCCAACCGCACATACTCTTCATTGCCATCATCATCATCATTTGAGTCCAATCTTGATACATCTAATGGCATAGAAGACACATAACTATTTTCTTCAAAAGACTCCAAGTCATTAAAACCTCTTGGCGGCGCTTTAAGTATAACATACCAATTAGATGTTTCATCTTCCCTTGAATAAAAAACTTGCTTAGCCTGTAAAGCAAGAATAAAGGGATCACTTTGAAACTGACTTTGACCTTCATGAAGGTTAACTAATACAAATCCATCTTCAACTTTGATGCCATTTCTAATGTTTGCCCACTCACAATCAAAGATTGGCACTTTAAATGTGTGGTAATCTAACAAAAGTATATCTTTTAAAACACCATAGTAAGATACTTTTCCTAGAACTTGATTTGTATCTCTTGCACTAGATTGACATATAGTTTTCGCTTCAAGCGAAACACCACTATCTTGTGTGCTTCTCTCCACATCCTTGGTGTGAAATCGTTGTCCATTAACAATATATCCCGAATGTGAAATGACTTCTCTTCTAGGCCCATTTGCAAGACACATAAGTGTATCGGACACATCATTACCAGCTGCACTAATTTCATTTGCAAACCACAAACAAAAAGTCTCCATATGTTTCTTTTGTAATGCACTTGCATTCCTTATGAGACGCTTGTCCATCTGCTTAAGCTCCTCCAAATGTTTTCTGTGAGGGAAACACTATTGGTAAGTTTTCATTGTTATTTTTATAACAAATTAATAACTCCTGAAGATATCATACTTACCCTGTGTACGGTTCCACCTCTGCATTATTGAACAAGACATAACGGTGAGCAATTTGTAACATGTCATTCGACATGACTTTCAAAATTCCTTTCAAAATTGGACGGCCATCTATTGTTGTCTCACCTTCAAAATCCTCATTTCGAGAATGTCTCTCCCCTATTTTAGAAGCTTGTTTGATGTGCTCACTACAAAATTTCACACACTCATCAGCCAAATAGCCTTCAGCTATGTATCCTTCAGGTCTCGCCCTATTTCTAACATATCCTTTATAAACCTTCATCATCCTAAAACACATAAAAACAAAATAAATTATATATATGTTATAATATTAAATATCTAACTCCATAAAAGAAGAAAAAGTTGATATTAGTACCTCTCAAATGGGTACATCCAACGAAATTGTACTGGTCCACAAATACGAGCTTCGCGTGCGATGTGAATAGTCAAGTGAATCATAATGTCGAAAAAAGATGGAGGAAAAAATCTTTCTAACATACACAATGTCTCAGCAATTTCATTTTCCTGTCTTTCCATTGAGTTCCTATCAATCACCATTTCGCATACTTCATTAAAATATGCGCATAGGCGAAATATGGCATTCCTTACAGCCTTTGGTAGAATTCCCCGTAACGCTACCGGTAGTAATTGTTGCATTAGGACATGATAATCATGAGATTTCAAGCCTACAACCTTGCATTCATCCAATGATATATGTGTCCCAATGTTGGAACTATAGCCGTCTGGTAGCTTTAATTGTTGTAATCGCTTACAAAAAAGCTGTTTTTCTTCCTTCTTTAGTGTATGAGGTGCTGGTGGCACGAAATGTTTCCCTTTTGAATCTTGTGGGTGCAAATCCCCCCTGATGCCCATTTCCTCCAAATCCCTACGAGACTTGAGTCCATCTTTTGATTTTCCTTTTATGTTCAATAGGGTGCCAATAATACTCTCACAAACATTCTTTTCAATATGCATGACATCTAAGTTATGGCAAACGAGTAATACCTAAAACACAAATAATGGAATAATAGTTTTTTTAAAACATATTATAAACTTAAATAAATAATATTTTATTTAAAAAAAAAAAAAAAACTAAACGACTTTCTATTACAAATACTTACCTCCCAGAATGGTAATTCAAAAAATATGGATTTTTTCTTCCACGCCACATTTTCGTCCTTTTTTGTCTTTTGTTTCCTCTTTCCAATTTTTGGTTTGATATGTAATTTTCCCTTCACTTTTTTACCCCAATCATTTTTAATATTTTTCACAGCATAAAGAATTTCAGTCCTAGACAATATTTTAGGCTTCCACCTATGTTCTTCACTCCCATCAAACCAACTCTTCTTTTTTCGAAATGGGTGAGTAGGAGATAGCCATCGACGGTGACCCAAGTAAACGGTCTTGGTGCTACAATTCAACCGCCTTGAACATGTGTCATCACTACATGTTGGACAAGCTTTTTTACCCTTTGTAACATGACCAGAGAGGTTACTAAAAGCTGGAAAGTCACTAATTGTCCACATCAAGATTACCTTCAAATTAAATGTGGACTTTGCAAATGCATCATAAATTTCCACACCTTTCTCCCATAGATCTTTCAAATCATCTATAAGTGGCTCCAAATACACATCTATATCATTTCCCGGTTGCCTCGGCCCTGGGATTAGTAATGTCAACATCATATTCTCTTTAGACATGAGTTCAAGTGGCGAAAGATTATATACCACCAATGTTACTGGCCAACAACTATATGCCGAACTAAGGTCACCAAATGGATTAAACCCATCAGTTGAAAGGCCAAGTCTTAAATTTCGTGAATCTGATGCAAAAGAAGGCCATTTTTTATCTATCGTATGCCATGCAGGCGTGTCAACCGGATGTCGCATCTTTCTATCCCCACTTCTATGAGTTGAATGCCACGTTAGTTGTTTTGCTATTTCAGGGGAAACATTCTTCTAAACCTTGGTACTATTAGAAAGTACCGCAACACCTTAGCTGGGACACCATTTTTAACCTTCTTAGTACGCTCATTCTCTTTCCACCGCGAAGCACCACATTTTGGGCATTTAGTCATGTGCTTATTCTCTTTTCTAAATAGACAGCATTCATTCTTACAAGCATCTATTTTCTTATATCCTAAATCAAATGTCTTCAAAAAAAATTTCGTTTCATAATAGCTCTTAGGAAGTTTGTTATTTTCTGGAAGCATATCCCCAAACATTTGAAGAAGTCCATCAAAACCAGTGTCGGATAAATTAGTTGTTGCTTTGTGCTTGTATAAGGCAACAATTGCAGACATAACCGTATACTTTGTGCATTCTGGAAATAAAGGGGTCATAGCATAGTATAACTTGTTTTTAAACTCAACCTCTCTTATTTCACAGTTTGGATCCGAAACATCATCACCACCATCAAAGAAAATATCTCTATACATCTGATACGTCTCTGGCATTTCAACGTCATTTACATCACTTCCATATTGGGGAGATTCACTCAGATTTTCCCCATGAAAGTACCAGATCGTGTATGATTGATCCATTCTATTTTCCAATAAATGCCTAAACACCATGTCGAAGTATTGGTGCTTTGCATTTAGACAACAATTACAAGGGCATAAAATGTTTTCTGGATGGCCCGCATTCGCTTGCGCCTGATCAGCAAACCTCCGTACTCCTTCTAAATACTTTGGATCAACTCTATAAAATTAAAGCTTTAACATTTAATTAAACTTAAAATTAGTGTAGACAATATTAACTTTTATAAGCACACTCCACTACAAATAATAACCTGTAAGTCATGTGCATCCATTCTTTATCCATCACTATTTGATTAATTATTTTGTCTACTAACCTATCACAAAAGATAAAAAAAAATTATCAAAATTCTAGCAAGAAGAATATCTAACCATATTCATGATAATGTGAATAAAGGCAGAAAATAGTCTATTCAAAGAGTAAGTGTGACAACCTTAAATTTAATTAAGTCTTCCCTATGTTTAGGACCAGAATTACATGATTTTTGATTAAATTTCTTTCTACCTATTTCATGTGTTGCATTTCAATATTAGTACATCCCTAATTGCTTGGAATTTATTTAAATGCATCGGTTGTGCACGGTTCGTTGGCAATTTATAATTCCTTAATTGTCTAGTATATAATTTTTTGATCTAGTATTTAATTTATAGTCATAAGTTTCATTTAATTTTTCTATTTTACTCATGGGATGAATTTAGTTGTTAACAAATAATAATAAAAATAAAGAAATAAAGAAATAAATAAAATGGGTAGAGCCATTGAGTGATTACTTTTGGAAATGAGGGAGTATTGAGATTTTAATAGAATGTGGTTTAGTGGGTTTGCATGTGGCAGCATGTAGGGGATCTAGAACTAGGTGTCATTCATATGCAAAACTTGGAGACACGTTTAATTATTTAGCACTACACTTGTAACTAGTTCCCTCATAGTTGTTGCATCCCAAGCCTAAAAGAAAACTTCTAGCCGTGGGTTGTCTGACAGAGAGAAAGAAGAACAGAAAGTGAAGAAAAAGAAGAAGGGTTCAGACTAAGGCTAAAAATGTAGGCATTTTACCCACACACCATCTAATCTCACCACCTCCAGTTGTTAACTTCAATTGGGTAGGGATTCTCTTTAACTCTTGCAGCCTTGAGAGTTATTTTTTTAAAGTTCTGTTTCCCAATTTAATGTTCCATGAAATTCTAGTTTTTCTTTTTACAAGTACATGAGTTTCTTGTAGTCAAATGCTTGATTTTAGCTAAGATATTATACATATGCTTGGTCATGATCTGAGTTTTGGTTACATACAAGTATTGCTTATGATTTTATTTCAGAACTTTACATGGTTAAATTGTTTTCCAATCAGAACTTAGCATGTTGGTAGACTGATGTATATTATCAATTTTACGCCAAAATAATTCTGCTTAATCAGATCATGTACCTAAAAGTTAAAACCTCATGGAGGCATTTGTTAAAGGCTTTCCTACTGGGCATTGTCACACCCTTGTTATTTTTCAGGTCTTGGTACTCAAGACGGCAATGCTAGACCCAAGCTTGAGTTCCCATAGATGGGATCCTTTTGTGGAGCATCTTCTGCTTGGTGTTTTTGTGTAAAATATTAGCCTGAAGTACTATTTTGTTCATGTTTGATGCCTTATGAAACAATGTTAAGGTCGTGGTTGTTGTGCTAGAGTAAAGATGACAATATGCTCTCTGCTATGTGTTCTTTAGGACAGGGTACTGTATCTAGATGTTTTGTGTATAGCCTGCTAATGGTAGCATATGTACTTAGTGACTGGGCATCAGAGCTGTGACTCTTTATTTTGGGTGTACAAATTTGGACTGAAATTATCTTTCTATGGATGACTTTATGCAATATATATATTCTTAGCCTCTTTAGATCTTTGTTATGCCTGTGTATTATATAAGTTGTTCATGGGGGTAAGCTCTGAATTTTCTGTTAGAGGGTTTTATTTAAAGAAAAAAAAAAAATCTGTTTTAAATTTCCTCTAGTACTTTCTTGGAAACAAATTTTAATCAGAGGTTGTAGTGTTTCAAACGCTGTGAAATTTTTACCATATGTTTCCCTTTGTGTATAAAGTCTCTCACAAAATTTTTATAATTTTTCGATTGGTGGATATTTTTTAAAAAATCTTATATCATCTGCTGTTTGGTTTCTGGTCACAGTTTGGAAACTGAATTTGAGAAAAGAATTTGACGGCCTTCCCGAAATCAATAAATTATGAAAGTTTCCAGTTTTATTATTTCAAGTGTCTAGTTTCTAAGGTTAAGGCCCCAAAATTTTATTGGCTCTCTAAAAGACTAAGCAGGCCAAAGTTTTACACTTGGTTCCATTTCAGCACAAGCTGTGAGAGCTTTCTTCCTTCCAAAAACTGTTTTCCTTGGTGTTTTTCTAGCATCCGGGAGTGACTCGGTCACATTGTCATCTGAGTCTAGTTTCTAAAAAAATTTAGTTTGTTTCATTTTGATAATAATTGAATTTTCTATGTTTTTTTGAGGAACCGCTGTGCAGAATTTTCTTAAGCTGAAAACTGCTGTTCCATTTTTTTTTTGTTTTAACCTTATTATCACGCCCTATGATTTTGGGGTGTGACAGTAAGTTGGTAATGAAATAACTCTCACTACACTCTGAGCGTATTTTAGTTTATTGATTTTGGTCCTTAATTATCTTGTTTTATTTTACTTTGGTATGGTGTTGGTGGATGAGATCTTGTGTTGTAGATGTGTGGCAGAGTTTGGGTATTTTGCCTTCTTTTTAGATATTATTTTTCGTGTATGCATATATGTGTGTATGAAAGTGTAGATGTGTGGGTTGTTCTAGGTGTTATTTTCACAAATTATTTTGATATGGTGTAGATGTATGAGATTTGATTTGAAGCTAACTTATTCAAGTTGTTGAAGCTGTCAGACATGAGTTTTTGAAACGAAGATCTCCATAAAAGAACCCTAATCCTTGCTCTAATTTGAAGCAAAGTTTGACAATTCATTGAGGGAGGCATCGAAGATTGCTTGTATTTGTTTGTTCTATGAAGAAACTAGGGTTCCTATTTTGAATCCACAATTTCTTCGAATTTCAGATGGCTATACACATCAATTTGGAGCAAAAAATCAAGGTTCGTCAATCTCTTTCTGTATATGTATCTATTAGTTTTGATTTTTTGATTAAGAGTGTTTTATATAATTTTAATTTAAGTCAATTCCTATTCAAATATGACCCTCATTGTCCGTAAGTTAGAAATGCTGTCTATCTTAACAAAATTAGGACATTTTTCTTAATAGTTTCCCATGCTATCATGTAAATTGAAAAGAGCAACGAGAGAAAAGAACACAAAGAATGATTACTATACTTTGAATTGCATCTTATGGGATAAAAGGCGTAGCGTGGAAGAGCATACCTTTAAAAGAGCAGGAGTCCCTTCTTCTCTAATGATAGTCCTAACACAATCAAATATACCTTTGTACTGGTTTGCTGACCCCTGCAAAGGTTGAAAAGATGAAATGAAGAAAGAATTTGCATTACTCCCCTTCTATGAAAAAGATTAAGACAGAAAGAAAAGTAAGAAAAAAGATCCATTATCTGTACCTGAACCATTAATCTAGTTTTTATGACATCAAGAGGAGTTGTTATAGCTCCAGTGATTGCACCTGAAAATATACAAGATTTGATTTTAAGAGATCCTCAACAAGTAGGGCATTAAATTGAAGCACGTTTTACATTAGTAAGAGTCAGTAACAAACATGGTTGTCAAAGTTACGATTTGAATCAAAGGATCATACGATCCTACCTATTTGATTTTTATTTAGTTTTTCTCTCTTCTTAAAATTTGTTGGGCCTTCAGCTTATTGGTCTCATCCATGTGACATGTCTATATTATGGACAAATATTTGATGACAATATAATAGGGCAAGCAGCCAGTTGATGAATGGTGAAACGATTACATAGTAAAGTGGTAGCCTGCTACTAGCCACAATTTACAAATGTGAATTATTAAATCAATGTTAAAATTCAAGGAATTATGTAAAGGTGTGATTGGCTCTAGTCTAAAGGGTGCTAATAAATTGGATGATTACCATGAATGTCCTTTGCAGAATCACTCTTGTCGATCAAAATTATCCATGGTTTATGAGAAATATGTGCGCTATACATGATAGATATATTCACACAGCTTCCAGAAATAAGTAAAAGTTTATAGAAGTATCAATAAGTGATTAAATATGTACACACCCCTTCTGCTTCCTTTAGCCATGGTGAAATGTAATTAATATCAATCATGTGGACCAATAAAAGCTCAATCAATGAAAATCCTATCCATCGAATTAAATGCCACAATACTATATATTGTATAGTCAAGGTTGGGGTATAGCAGCGTACAGAGTACAATAAACGGATACATCACAAAATCTATCATGGCAGTAAATTTTTTCTTCAACCTAACAAATCCTGTGACCAACTGATAAAAATATTTTTATCTATTCAAGCCATTTGTTGATGATTTTTTAAAACTAATTTGCCACATTTTTTAAAACTTTTAAGACAAAAATTGTGGATTTGATAACACCTAAAAATGGGAAGCTGTGGGTATACTTGTTCGGCTATTTTAGGTATAAGGCCCACACCTCACAAGCCTTGGCTATCTCAAAATCATCATAAAGTTCCTCATCAACGTGTTCACGATCAACAAGACCAATCATAGAATTAAACTTGCTTCTTCCAATTTCTTCACTAAAGCATCAAAGAATTGAAAATAGTAAAACTAAAGTATTAAATGACATGCTTGATTATCTCATATGTTAAAGCTTGCCTACCTAAGTCATGCTAATATCCATAGTAGGAATATGCACAAATGAAATGCACTTACATTGTTACTTCTACTACAGGAAGCTCAGATATGGATTCTACTGAATCAAGAGCATTTTCAACAAGTTCTCTCACAGTATTGTAGAGGGATTTCCCTGGCTGAAAGCAAAATAAAATGCAGAAATTGACGATTGAAGGAAAAAGAACAGCTACGAACTTGTACTAATAGATTTCTATACAGATATCCGGAATTTAACTTTGCCCCTAATTCACTGAATTTAACAACCAACTTCAGACAATTTAAATTTGCAAATTCTCTTAGTAGGAGAATATTTATCTAGTTTTCACCCACATAGAGAAATAAATGGAAAATTTCTAACTCCCCCCCCCCCCCCCCCCCCCCCCGAAAAAAAAAAAAAAAAAAAAGAATTTCAGAAATTTACAACAAAAAAGTTTTCCCAATCAAATTAATTCAATCGAGGCACTGGACTAGATATAAATTCGCCAATTACTCTCCTAATACTAACACCATGCTTCCATCATCACATATGAGAGATTATATATTTAATGCAACAAATAGTACATATCAAAATTATTCAGCTACAAACTAATACAAGTACTGAAAAAAAAAAAAAAAAAATACCCACAGAAATTATACAGGAGGCTAAGAAACTCACATTATCAAACCCAGCAATGTTCTTACTCTCAGTAAAAAACTCAGCCGGTGATTCTGCAGAAAAACAAATAAATCACCCGAACCCAAATTAACACACAGAAATCTCAAGCAATACCTATATATACAAATAAGTAAATAATGCAAAATTGTAGATGCAAATAATTATTTATATACAGAGAGAGAGAGTGAGTGAGAGAGAGACAGACTAACTCTATTTAAGAAGAAAAACAAATGAATCACCCAAACCCAAATTAACACATAGAAATCTCAAGCAATATCGATATATACAAATAAATAAATAATGCAAAATTGTAGATGTAAATAATTATTTATATATAGAGAGAGAGAGAGTGAGTGAGAGAGAAACAGACTAACTCTATTTAAGAAGAAAAACAAATGAATCACCCAAACCCAAATTAACACATAGAAATCTCAAGCAATATCGATATATACAAATAAATAAATAATGCAAAATTGTAGATGTAAATAATTATTTATATATATAGAGAGAGAGAGTGAGTGAGAGAGAGACAGACTAACTCTATTAAGAACTCTTTCCTTGGGTTTTCTAGGGCTCTTCGATTTGCCTTTCTTTGCTTCGATTGGACTTTCACTGCTCCAATAGAGAGGCGAACCAGAGGGACATCATCATCTGCATCTTTTTCGTCTAAAGAGAGAGAGCACAGAGGGAAAATTAGGGTTAGCTTCAACGTGATAAAAGGGGAGTAGAGAGAGAAAAGGGATATATAAGGTATTGACAAAAACTACGTCGTTTTTGTCAAATTTTTAATTATGTTTTTTATTAAAAAAAAATTCATTTAATTTGCTATTTGGCGCTAAGTTTCCCGCTAGTGGGGAAAATTTTATTTGGAAAATATTGCCTATCTACGGGGCAAAAAAGACACCTTAAATGTGAAATTTATTCACGGCGTCTTTATTACACCGTAAAAGAACTTAATTATGTTTAATAATATTTTTTAATTAAAAAAATAATTTATCTGGCGCTAAGTTTCCAGCGAGGGGAAGGCTAAAAATAGTATTGCTTTTCTACGGGGCAAAAAATACGCCTTAGATGTGAAATCTATTCACGGCGTCTATAATACACCGTAAAAGAACTTAAGTTCGTTTTTTTAATTCTTTTCTGTATATATTTTTAAAGTAATTTTAGTAATTTAAGTACTATTGCTTATTTACGGGGAAACAAAAAGGCCTTAAATGTAATATTTATCAACGAGCAACATTTATCCCGTGAAAAGTGTACAAATATGCCATAAATATATCTAAATATTCACGACCTCTTTAATACACCGTAAAAAACATTTTCTACGGAGATTATACTAAATCCTCGTGAAAACATGTAACAATTACGAGGATTCTTTTAAAAACTCCGTAAATGGTGGTAATCACGAGGCAAAATAAAGAAGCTCCGTAAATACTATGTCGTAAAAGCCCACATTTCTTGTAGTGTTATATGTAGTTTTCCCTTAATAATAATAATATTTTAATGCCAAACTTAAAATCTAATATAATTACAGGTATTGAAATAGGTAGAATGGATATTGAAATCAAGCTTACTTCAACTAGGGATGTGTTTTTTATTTCAAAATTTAAAACTTACATTCCACAAATAGCCGAACAATTACAAGAAAATTTTAAATTATCATATTATATAGACAATTCTATTGATATAGAATTATTAATTCATATGTATAATATTGCGAGACAAATTGATGTTGTTATTCCATGTAGATCTACTCGGGTCGTCGTCACTGTCTCGAATTTAGAAGTGATTGAACAATTTCAATGAGATATAAAATTAATTTTAATAAATTATATATATATATATATATTTTTCAGTATTAGTTTGTTTTATTCTTTGTTAGTTTGATTGAATTTGTTTGATGTATATTGTAAATAATGTGTACAAGTTCTTAGTGCCTGGATCAGTAGTTAGTCATAATTTAAAAGTGATATATTTTGACATTTTTTTTTTATTTTTTAATATATCACTCATAATTTGTCAAATCACATTGTCGATCAAAGAATTTGAGAAGTGTCTGCATTTATGAATTTACGGAAAAGTAAGATGATGGCTGGACCATAATTCAACCAAATGGTCCAAATCAATCTTCCATTTTTATGCTTCTTTTAAGCGTAGTACAAATTTGAAAGCATTGATCATTTAGAGTTTTTAAATATTTGATAGAAAAGAAGAATACCCTAAAAATTTCAACTGGACCATCAGAGAACCATAAGAATATTTAGGAATCTTTCTTTCTCTTTCATTTTTGTGGAGATGGAAAATTAATTTATGTCTTTGGGGGAAGGAAAAAAAAGAAAAAAAACAAAACAAAAGGAATGAAAAAAAGTCTGTAAGAATTTTAGAAATTTCGCCATGTATGATGCAACAAGTATTAAAGTACCTAGAAATTTCCTCAATGAAGTCGGCTGTCTCAATTAAATGGGCTATTGTTAACACCTAAAATATAATTCGAGGCAATCATGCCATGTGGTCAGAGATTACAAGGTCCGAACCTTTGGTCAACCCATGGTCATTCTAATCAGGGTGATCAGGTTTAAGGCTGGAAATTAAGAAGAGTGGAATTTTTAGGCCATTAAGACTGAGATGAGATTTTGAGCTCATAACCGGTCACGATTGGGACTCTCAATCTCAATGGTCATGATTGATGAGCGCTAAAAAGTGCGTATTTAAACCCCTTAAGGTCAGGTATTTTAGAACCTATATTTATCTTATTTTCCCGTCTTAGATTGATTTCGTGTTATTTCCATTTTCAGGTACTTATCCCAAAAATAAGCTAACTCAACCAAATAAGAGCATAATTGAAGTAATTCTGGAATGAATCAAAGAAGGGAGCAAAGTAGAGCAAAAGGAAGCAAATTGTGGAATTTCAGCAACTTCGATCGATCTCAAGAAATATTCGATCGATCCAACTTTCACCGATCTCAGCACTCCAAGATAGATCCAGGCCATGATGTCATCTTCAGAGATCCCAAAAGTTCGATCGATCCAACATCATTCTCTGATCGATCGAACTTTCTTGTCCTTATCCACATGCCAGATCTTATCCAGCTGTACTACCCTTGTAATGACCCGGTCATTTGCCTTCCTTTCCTTCTTCCTGAAATTTTACGAATGAATTTTTTTCGTTTAATTTTCTTTTCTGAACTCTATTTCGTGTCGCTTAGTGTCATCTCGAGTGCTCGAAATTGGTTCCTGAGACTCTTTTCCATGGATTGACAACTTCCTTTGAGGATCGAGTCATTTTCATATTTTTCGTTTTTCGACACTATGCGCTATTTCGTCCTTTTTCCTATTTTGTCTTATCTCCGTTTGTCAGTTTTTGGCACAACCTCACTTCTTATGCTCAGAGTTGGTTTTTGACTTGACGTGCCTTCATCTTGAGTGGTTTCCTTGAAATACGTATCTTTACTTTTGCAAGAAAGTACTCTGGTTGCTCCCGGTTCCCACAGGGGCATAGATGCATAATTATTTAGAATCTTTTTCATTTCTTAGGGTGTTTTTCATAAATATCTTTTGAAGATATTTTATTTCAGGGGCATCTAAGAAAATATTTTTTGGAAGATATTTTCATTTTGGGGTAATTTCGCAATTAACCCTTTTTATAGGGGCCATTGTGCAATTAACGAAAGTTATTGCAAAATGTCTCGTCTGGAGCCTGGATTCTCGTACGGGATTCATTTTCACTTTTCGTTGACTCGTAAATTCATAGAATTTCCTTTTGGTCATTTTTCTCTAGTTTCAGAGTTTCTGGACCCGGTTGCCGCCGAACTTGTTCGGGGCATAACTTTATGTTCGGGACTCATTTTTCAACGCCATTTCTTCTGTTGTTCATATTTTCTCATTTTGAATCTTTTTTGTTCACGGAGTTTTGCCGTTTAAGCTCGTTTACTCAAAATCCACTTTTCCGGACCTGGCGGGGCCCTTTCGGGGCAGTTTTTGAGACTTACTATAAATAGGATGCCCTAAAGTGAAAAATCAGATTTTGGTCATCTTTCCACCTCTCTTGGCCGGATCTCCTAGTAGCCATGGCTACCACATTCTCTCTCCTTCTTTGGTCCACTTTTCCTTGGTAGAAATCATTCGGCCTTAGCATTTATTGCTTCCTTCGACGTGCTCTACCTTTTGCCCTTATTAGAATCCATTTTCGACGATTTTTCGAGTTCGAGTTTGGAGTCAAGTTGAGATTTTCATGGGGCTTCTTGCGGATTCTTGTTCACAGTGTTGTCCCCGACAAAACCTCTCGGTATCGTCGAATTTGGAGCACTTTTATTTTGGTGGGCCTTTAGGATTTTCATCTCAAATTAAGGTAGGAGGTGTTATAGGTTTAATTCTTGTTATATAACATGCTATTGATGCTTATACAACTTGATTGCATGCTTAAATATGAAATCTAGAAATTTTATTATTTAATTTTCTTGTATTGGATTTGATTTT